CTTCATGGTATTTGCTAATTTCATTTGGAGGCCTCAGTCTTTCAGTTTTAATTGTGTACATTCAAGTGGTTACACCATACTTTACTGTCACCATCTTTGATCACTTGGCTCTACAGAGAACTGGCTTGAAACCAAGGAATTTATGATCTCTGAATTAATTTTTCCCCACAGATCTTCCAGGAATATTCTGGAGAAGCAGACAGACATTATATTTCATCCATTTTCCCTTCTGGTTTCACTCAGAATTCCATAGAGACAATTGAGTTATTTCTCTGTTTGTATATTTTTGACACTGGTTAGGTGCTAAACGGTAAGTGGGGATCAGAATATATTAAACTGATGTACTTATTCTTTATTGCAGTTATGTTCCTTAAATGAGAAAGGCATCTATAGAAATCTGCTTTATTTCATGGGCTGTTGTGGACAAACAAGGTATATCTTTCAAAAGGATCCTGGTAATTGTGATTAGCATATAGATAGGGAGTTTTTGGCAATTGGGCAGGTGAGCAATACTAATCGTTGGAAATTCCGGCAAACAAAGAAAGGGGATCAAGGTGCCTTAGCTTGTCTTGGCGGTGTCAGATGGCTTTGATAAGCAGCAGAACAAAGAATGTTATTGTGCCCGAGGGCAAATTTTAGTCCATTCAGTTCTGTGTACACTGCAGAAAGCTGTTGATTTAAAAGCTAACTGATGAAAGAAGTCATTGTCTGGTACTACCATGTACCCTACCAAAACTCTAGCTTTTTAACGTTGCAGACTAAAATCTGTGCAAGTATTCGTGTATTTTCTGGTACGTGTAACAATAGTCTCAGTCACCGAAAGTCACAGTAGACACTGCTAAAGCCACACAATCAGCTTGGTCCCTGCGGGAGCCTGAATGCACAAGGGAAAAACTGGTGTCACCTCTTCCACCCCTGAAGAAGGCTTCAGGCAGCTCTGTGATATGCAAGAGTTGGACTTTTCAGGTGATAAAGTAGTCCCCAAATACTTGTTCCTTGCTACTGAAGATACACTCCCCACAGTTGTGCATAAGAAAGTAACCGCAATGAAGAAGAAGCGACCTCGGTATTTATTATGTCGCAAAAACTTAGTCTCCTTCCTGCACAAGCAAGCGTGAAACGGGAGGCAAGGGAAGGTGCCACAGAACCTTTCTCCTTTTGCAATTCTTTCATGCATGAAAGGAAGAGAGGTCAAGTTCTCATGCCTGCAGTCCTAAAGTCACACTCTAGCCACGTCCCATCAGCACACAACGCATGCAGTCAGTATGGGGGGGGGGGAAGGTGAGGGGGAGACCATCTGAGTAGAAGGCAAGGCAGCACTGTTCAGGAAATGGGTTAGTTTAGGTCAAGAGGTCTTTTACCAAGGCAGAAAATGAGCATTTCCCTGTGTCATAACCAGACAAGCAGATTTACCTGGAAGGCCTTTTGGTTTTGATTTCCTACTGGCATCAGCTTTGCTGTATCTTCATTAAATGCTTATAACACTATGCTTTACTGGCAATATTGGGAAGGGCGGGGGATTAATATAACTATCCATATCCTGTGTTTTGCTTTATTTTTGGCATGGAGGCTGTTTAGAAGACACTATTATCACCAACCATTATCTTCTGCTCAGCAGAACAACCACTAAGTTTCAAGTATATTCAGTGTGGGACACATACACCTGCCTGTCATCAGGGCTATTTTCAAGAGTTACATGACTCATTGAGTCTTCAAGCAGGAATCTATTTTAAGCCTCGCTATCATTATCCAAGACTAATTTTCCTAGGCAAAACAGCAGACTTGTGCTAAATTGCGTTGGTCAATCAGAAGCAACACACAGTGAGATAAGCCTGGACATAGTAAAAATGGGGCATACTCAGGCCCGGCTTGACCTTTTGCTAGAACAAAGCAAGGGGTTTCTTATCAAGTCTAAGTTGTTACAGTCTCTAGCAATGAGATGTAGCAGAATGACAATCCAGCCCAAGTTCTCCACCTTACAGGAAAAGTCTGCCTCCTACTCAGGAGGGAAAAACAAGGCCTCTTACATAAAGAAAGGTCAGGAACATCCATGTTCTGGGCTTGAAGATCTCCATGACAACACAAAAGCAGATTTTTGAGGAGTAAGAGTTAAGGAATTACTTTTCTAAATGTAAACAAGAAAGTGGATACAAAAAATTGACTGGCAGATTAATTAACAAAGCTCATCACTTGGGAGATTTTTTGACAGAGACTGGACTAAGCAGTAGAAACACGCTGTAATAAACAGTCTTGTCTTAGCCATTAGTGACAGCACCTTCCTTCACAGAAGGTCTTTATCATTGCAAGAGTTCCAACAATTACCAAGTATGAAAGATTTTTTCTACTACTTTTTTTTTCCCCCCTGTAATTACATAAAGAACTGAAATTCTGCAAGCTTGGAGAGTGATTAGATTCTATTTTGTATGCTCCAGGAAAAAGGATTACAACTGTTTCTCTACCTGATTATGTGGTTTATATGCACTGAATTTTTATCACCAAATCCACTGATGCAGAGCTAAGGGGAATGGGCTCCTTAATTACAGCTATGTTAATTTCATATCTGATAAAACCATGCTTTTCTGATTATTAAAAAATACCTTTAAAATTAACATAAGTATAAACATTGAGATATAATCCAGACATTTTCTTTTCCATTATAGTACATGCACTAGGACTATTTGAAAGAAATAATATCTGTATTACATTCATAAAAGATTAAGGATATGCAATTCCTATTAAGTGAAAACACTATATTGATACTTGTTCAGAAAACTAATTAGTTTGGTTGACAATTAACTGGAAAATATTTTTTACTTAGGTACATGTGATATGAAAAAACGTTAATTGGCTATTAGTATTTTACCTTACATCAAAAATTCCAATATATTAATAAAATTCACCACCTCTGAACCAAAGTTTGATCTCAGCAACATTCAGAAAAAGTTAAAATGTTGCTCCTATTTCATGCAGTTATGCTGATTTTCCACAGACAGTAACTAGATGGAATGATCAGAATCTATTTGTGTTGTGGATTAATGGCATGCTTCCTCGGTTGCTGTGGTACTTAGCTAAGAAAAGTGAAATGCATTTTAAAAAAGAACTAGTAATCATATACTCTTAATACTCAAAAAAAAACCCCATTTTTTTTAGAATTATGATAGATATATTTTCTTTCCTGTAAACACACCAGTATTTGGTTGATTCATGCAAAATCCTCCATGAATGGCAGCTTTTCCTTCTATAACACAGAAAATCAATGGGAGTTTGAATAAAACTTGTTCTTGCATGGACTGCTGATAGAAATTCCAGATGTTTGGAAGCAGCAAATAGTGTAAGAGTTTCAATCTTATCTCATAAAAGATATTAATGCATGAGAATTACTGCTACCAGATAAAGGTACCAAATTTGCAGTTTCTAGAAGTTAATGAAAAAAACTCAAAAAACTAAATATTGAGGGCTGTAGGCAGGGCTGCACCAGAGTCCACCTTCCATTGCAGCATTTTATCACCAGAAACCTTTGCCTCCATCAGTGCTAAGGACTCGTAATGCAGAGGGCTAACATCAGCTGTTTCTATGGAAAGCAAACAGTTTGAGTTGCATTTTTTTTGTTTCATTTAGAGATCAGAGCATAAACTAGAAGGGGAAGTGACATTGCTCTTGGAGTACTTCAAACAGAAAACAGAAATATTTGGGGGCCTTTGGTATAGGTTTGCTGTACCTTGGCTGACACAGCTTAAAAGCAAAGCATAGTTATAATGTTGAAATAAAAAGATCCTGTTCTAAACACCAGCAGTTTCTCAAGTGCCTTTGCCATGGGCACAAGTGAATAATTATTGCCAGAGAATGCATATGATTCAAAATGAAATACTAAATTGTATTATCAATAGACTGTCATCTAATTATGTTTTGGTTTCAGTCACACCTAATACAAGAGTTGTTAATTTCTGTTGTTCTTTCAACTGCTTTGTCAGGTTTATTCCAATTCAGGTAACTTAAAGGTCAGTAGGAGTTATAGGTAATAGGGAAAAGCTTTTGGACCATATTTTCTATTGTGGAAAGAAAAATTCTCCTTTCAATAACAGCTGAAGCAGTTACTGTTTTAAAACAGAATAAAGTACTGTGTAAAACAGGCACATAGTTATTTTAGTTTTAAAACCTTTTATTTCAGATAAAGCATGCTGCTATATACAGAAAAAAAATGTGGGTCAAAGCAAGAGCAATATAGAACGGGCAAAATATTCCTTAAAACTTACATACTCTTTAAAACTTAACAAGATGCTCTTAAAAACTTCAGTGCACTGGTAGTACTATATATTCTTCTCACTCCCAAATCACCTCCAGCAAAATGTCATTTCCTTACAGATCCTGAGCAACCACATCTATCTCTAGCTTTCATATAATGACAAATACAGGTTTCCAAGACAAAACTTACAGCAATGGTTTCAGCAAATTACTTCTACCAGTATATTGAATATATATATATAGGAGAAATTTAAATTCACATTGCTAATATCTTATTTCAAACAGCATCATTCAACTATGCAAACTAAGTATATTGTACATCTAGCAAAGTCAAGACCAGGCTTAGTCAGTTTTCCTTTTCATCTTTCTCCTCCTTAATTATCTTTACAGCAGTAAAACTCAGTAAAACTCTTAATTTCTCTTCTAAAGAATACTGTCAATAACTTCCCTCTTATTTTCTTCTAGAATTAAAGTCAAGAGGATACAGTAGTGATTTTTTTTCCTATATACTGAAGTTATGTTTGATATAGTAAAGGACAAGAGCTAATCTACTTTATACTGAAGAACATGAACCAGGCTCTATCATTATCTTCCCTTCAGGTGTCAGTGAGCAGGTAGCCGGCTAGCAGCAGCAATCTACATGAGACAGGCACTCGGAGAAAGGCCTTAGCAGTAAGTCTTTCCTCTAACTTAGGACAGCAGATATTTTTTTAACTGTAATTCTCTGTCTCGTGTATTTGCCTGCTAAATGTGGGCTTTTAACTTTTAACATTAAGGAGCTGCGCTGATAGGCCGTGATGCCAGTTGCGCAATTTGGCAAAGCGTGGGCTGTTACGTTCCGTTTCAAACCTTTCCCTGTGGCATGAAGAAAGAGAGAGAGAGGGAGAGAAAGGCAGAGACAGAGAGACAGACACACAGAGAAGAAAGAAAGGAGGAAGAAAGAAAGGGGTTAGGGACCATGGCTACCACTCCCCTGCCTTATAACTAGGGCAGTGGCAATTTATTTGGATTTTTTCCTCAGCTTCCAAATCAGCACAAAGAAGGCTGGGTAATCCTTTCTGGACCATGTATGAAAGGTTTTCCAGTTCATTTCTGAGTAGTAACTTGATGTAACTTCCTATTCTCTGACTTGTGCTTGGTGTTACAGGGCTGCTTTTGCTAGAAATGCAGTGTAATCCCATTGTTTTCCTGCCAGCAGATTCTCTTGGCTTTTCCCTCCCTTCTCCCCATCTGAGCAGTCAGTAAAGTTAACTCCATATGAGAGCAAAATTAATGCAAATATTTTCCATTCTGTAGCACCCAGGTCAGCCTATATACATCCTGCTGTCCTTCCTGTAAGGATCGCCAGCTGCAGGTTTCAGCAGTAGTTTTCTATTAGCTCTTCTCAGCATAACCGAGTAACGTAAGTGTTAACATTTGCATAAATATTTCTGGTCATTTGTGTCAAAAAGCAGAATTAACAGTGGATTTTCAAAGCACAGTCCTGTAAAGTATTGACCCCCTCCTGCAAACACCCCTCGCTACCTTTGACTGCAGGCTGGAGTGCTCAAGCAAGTTGTGAGTAATCTTCAGCACCTCTCAGGATTTAATCTTTTCTAGATTTCTATAGTTTACATTCAGGTTTTCTACAGGGGAAGGAGGAGGACGTGGGATGAGAGCACAGTCAAGGAGAAGTATATCAAACAGAATGGAAAATAGTTATTTGCAAAACATATTTGATTCATTGCAAACAAGGTAATTTTCCCTTCATTATTTACACCCAAAACACAGGACAATTGTGTTAATGCAGCAGAACTTGAGAATGAAACCAGCCAAACAGAAATGAACAGACTGAGCTGGTTTTACTCCTCTGGCTGAAGAAAGCACAAAACAATAAACAGAGTAAATGCCAGCAAATTCACTGATATTTCTAAATCTTCTGATCCTAGTAGCAGTGTCATGCAAGAAACACTCCTAGAGGAGTCTTGATGTATGACTGACTTAAAACCATAAACTATAAACAGCACTTTTTTGTGTTACTAGCTGCAGTGGGATGAAACACATGAAATTTCATGTGTTGCCTTACTGCTTTAATGATACACTCCTCCATTCAAGGAAAAGGTATTCAGAAACATCTGTTTGGCTTGATATGGATACTGTCTTTCCACAAAATACTCCATAACAATCATCACAACAGCAATGGGAAGTTTTGATAGTGAATTATAACCTCGTGGGTGCCTTCGAAATAGCAGTAGCATGAGCAAAGGGCAGTCATGCAGTGCGCTCATTAGCGTTAACCAAAAGGAGTGAATATTCTGCCACCTGAGAATTCACAAGCTTTATTGTGCCCTGTCCAGAGCATATGGCATCAAGTTAGAAGCAGCACCTAGAAGTGACTATTTTTATGTAAAACAGTTATGCCAAAAATAAGCTACATGGTTGTTTTTTTTCCCTCCCCCAAGTATTTGGAAGAAACCTGATCACCATTTCATGCGGTTCTTGCTGACTATGCTGAAGAGCTGGCACAGACAAGAGAAAGCACCAGAGAGAAATGGCTCACAGCATGCCCCAAGACCAAAATTCGCCACACTGTGAAATCTCGTGGCAGTTCCAGTTCTGGAACATGAAAGATTTTTCCAGAATGCCAGCACAGCATGGGGTTAACACAACACTGAATCTGGTAAGACTCTGGTAAAATGTTTTGTTTTCAGGAACGCAGGAAGCCTCCCAGGGGATCCCAGCTGTGGGCAGAGAGAAAGGTGTGGTTGTACACACTGGGGTTTCTACTGCGTTATTGTGCTGGAAGGATGGATTCTGTGCATTTGACATAGGTCCTTCCATCCCTTAAAAACCAAGAGTGGCAGGGCCCTTGCCAAAAGGCAGAACAGAAAGCGTCCAATAGGCCCAGAGGAGTAGATGATGGATGCTTGCAGAACTAGGGCTGTCACTCCCACCTCCACAGTGGAGCGTGCGCAAAGTTTGAGGTAGGTACCAAGCCAGCAGCACGGTGCAAGCACCATGAGTTGGGTGGGAAGGAGGCCCCTTTTAATTCCTTGTGCCAGGGCTGATGCCAGTCATGCTCTACCCTTATAATGACCTTCTATGGATTCCCCTCTGCTACCAGTGAAAGCCCTTCAAACTCTTCAGGTAATACAGCTGTGCCTAAATATATTCATAGACATGAAAAAAAAAAGGGTAACACAGGGGTACCTCAAAACTGCAGAAAAAGTGCAAAACACAGTGGATTTAGTAATGTACTTCAAGTTACACTGAACAAGGTGTGCAATTTCCCTGTCGATGTGTTACTAGGTGATTACATTCAACAGATCTAATATGATGTTAAGTTTCCAGTATCTAGTATTTTCCAAAGCCCCACACTACAGCTAGAAAGATTATTTCTTTAAAACTGCCTGTTACTCTCAGATGTGCCTGAGGGACTTCAGTTCAGCACAATGCTTTAAATCTCATCACAACAGGAACTAGACTTGCACGTTTTGGGGAAGAAATAAATGCCTGAGGGATGTAACGTCCAGCCTGATGTTCAGGCACCTAGCCACAAATTACCGCAATGGAAGGTTTGTAGCAACCATAAACTGAAAGTATACTTGTATTTTCACAGGGAAGAGGACATCTTTTTCACTGATTCACCATTTTTAACTAGCACTGTCAGCAAAAGCTCAGAACCTTTACAGAAACCACATGGCAGGAAAAAAAAAAAGAGAGAAAGTGAATCGAGTATCAAAGACATCACAAATGCAGGCAGTGGCTCAGAGCAGCTAACGTGATACAGGGATTTGAAGTATGCAAACAGAAAATCAGACTTACATGCAGGATGCTCTGATCCAACTGCTGTTTTTACACTCAAAATGAGTTTCTAATAAACCTATTTCCTGGCTATGCAGGACAACATAACACCATTATAAATCTTTAATCCCTTACTACATCTCTGAACATATCCACTTTTTTCAGTGGTTTGGGTAGATCATATGAAACAAATACATTTTTACACTAGCAAAAGCAGTCCTGTGCTTCCTTTACCTACAAATTTGGGGTTTATTTATTCCAAACAGAACATAAACAAAAGATGATGGATACAGATGGAGACAACTCCTTTACTGTCTCATTTCAGGAGAATCAAATGTCAATCACAGGGTCATCCAAATAAATTGCTCACAAATTTCAATGCTATCACAACACTATATGTTTTCATCCAGTTACACAATCAAGTAGTTACACAGGCCTTGGTCACTGGAACTCATTGCATTCACACACCCAGTAAAGTACACAGAAGCTGCATGTGCAGAGAACTTTCAGATTTGAACACGCACACCAGGAATTTTGCACGCTCTTTCCTTAAAAACATGCTAGTTTGTTATCCTTTTCATTCAGATGCCTCTCACTAATAGCATTTTAGTTTTAGCAGTTTTTAAGTAAATGTATTAGAATATTTTAAGATAAGAAAATAATAACATATGTTCATATTAATGATGGTTTAAAACATTATTTGGTTATAGGTAAGGAGAAAGCCATCTTTGTCAGAGGAAGTTGCCTACCTTGACCTCCTCAGGGCTTCTTCATCAGGATCTTGCACTGCAGGGAAAAAAATGTTTCAATTAGAAAGGACGGGAGGAATTCACTTTATGATGAAATTCTAAATTTTTTTAGAAACATATCAAAAGCCTATCTACAGGTGCATTAATTCTGACTTTGCAACAGTAGATTTTACAAGAACAGCATGAAGAGGAGCAGCTCCCTAGAGCCAGGAGGAAGGGTGTTAGTAGGAAAACAGCTATTGCAACTCCTTGCTCATTCATTTATGAGCAATGTTTCCCAGCTGTAGGCAATGATTCTGCAGAGAGGGCCAGCTGTTTTGTGAGAAAGCGTGAGAGGAAGAAGCAGATTCCCAGGAGGAGGAAATACAAAGCATTTTGCCCTGGTGTGGGAAAGGTCCCTGAACTTCTTTCTCTCTAGATGAGAAACAAGCTCTGAGGCTCATACCAGGTGGTCAGAAAAACATTTCCTTGGGCAACAAGCAACAAAGTCCAAGCTCCTGTGACATTCGTAGCAGATCTAGGTTTAGGTAACAGGACTCAGTGAATCATCGGTTCAATACAGATGGTGATCCATGATTTATTTTTTTGACATCCGGAAGTCACTTCTATAAAAGACTGTTAGAAAAGACTAAGGTTTTTTTTATTTTTTTTTTTAACTAGTGAATGGACAGCTGTGTATGTCTAGGCTGCTGGAAAATCAAAGATTATTCTGCAGACATTTGATTTGTAGGCAAGAATGACTATGGAGTTGCAAATGCTCTTGTACTGGGTAGTCTGTCATACTTTTATGTTGAGACTCCTAGCAGATCAAAGAATTTGCTTCTAAAGCAGAAGGTGGGATTGAACACTTTGATTTTCTAGTTCCCTCAAGTTACATCCAGGGTTCTCCACTCTTAGCCCTCAGTGACAACGACTACAAGCTGGACATGAGTCTTCCTTGAGGATAAAGACACGAATCTAAAATCAGGATGGGGGAGGGGGTTGTAATTTGACTTACTGTACTCTGTTCCAGTCATCTGGGCAAGGATCCGGAAAGACTTAGACTGCAGATTGGCAGAACGGCGACTCCAGTCCTCGCTTTCATCTTCAGGCTTGTTCTGAGTTTTAAGCACAGCCTGATACACCGGAGAGGCACTGTCTACGTGAGGATCTTTAATAGGAAGGGTACTGCAATTCAGAAAGTGAAACGCTGTGAAACAGCACATGGTAGTTTACATCCCAACCTCTCTCTGGTCTTACAGCTTCTTATCCAGAATAACAGCAATCCCAAACACGGCTTTGAAAACATCACTTTTTATAAAAAATACACAGATCAATTTTACGTGAATTGAGAATGTTATCCTCTTCTATTTTTGAAATGGCCATTATCATTCAAATCTCAATATTCAAAATGTGAAAATACTTGGAAATACCTGTTCATGATTCCTCAGCCAATGCACCCACAAGCTTGTGGTGGTTGGAATAATATGTGGTGATAAAGGAGAGTATGCCAGGCAAAAACATTTATCTCTCTGAGCATTTTTGTCCCGTATTATTTCTTGTAAAAGTGGCTTCACGTTGATACTGTTTTATGTTATATCTTATTACTGTTTTGGGCCAGTGTATTTTAAAGTTGCAATTAGAAATAATAGAACTATTTCTTTATAAAAATAAACTGTCAAGCTTTTATAGCTTTTTCTAGAGATGATTATTCTTTGACAAACTCTGATTTATACTTCCAGCTGTCATAACTCTGGATTCATTGTCTGCTAAACATGTGAGGCATAAGAAGTCCAGACTTGTACTCAAACTGGCATACATATATACTTCGTATCTGAAATATGTACAACTTTCCTCAAGAGTCTTATGAAATCTCTAATCACCTGGAAAAGTGATATATCCAGGAAGAAACTTCCACTTTTGCACACCTAAAGTCAAAGCTATGAAGCTCTGTAGCACAAATGAGGTTACCTCTCTTCGATTTATGATGCAAGCTAGAAACAGGAACATAATAGCGTTTTTTTTCCCCTTCAAAAATAACTTCTGCATAGCATACTGTTAAAATTAACAGAGCTGCAGAAATATAGACTGAGGGATGATGTGGGCTTAGAGTAACTTGGCTCCATGACTTCTCCAAAAACAAGGTTTTATTTTTGAAGCAAGTGATTTATTGTAGCAGCTTTAACATGCTATTCCATAGAGAGGTTTGCGAGCAGCATGCTCAACTTCATGAAAAGTGAGAAATGGCTCTGTTAAAGAGTTAAGGGCTGTCTGATCCAACTAAGTCACTTCCATAAAGTTTCAGGAGCTATAAAAGTTGCTTCCCTGGTTCAGGCACAAAGTTAGTGCTCTCTAAGATAGTGCTGTGCAGAGCCAATCTACAGAGAAAATGGGTTTGTGGCGTGAAAACCTGAGAGGAATCATGAATAGCCAAGAAGCATATCTGATATCTTGCATACAGCAATAACATACACTGTAATGAAAAATATTACCAGGTGGTGCCTTAAACATCAGTCTTTTCCAGCTGGCACACTCCTCTTCTGCAGCACTGCACAATACACGTTGTTAATGGACCTGGGCCTCACAGTAGCATAGGATGGGTTCTCCAAGTAAGACTGCAAGGGGCTCAGAAACATGATGTGTGCTTACACATGCCCCGTGTCTTTAGGACTTTTAAAATTGTTTTTTGTTAGAGGATTATTTATATTCCTCACGACCCCCAGTATATGCAAATTTCTCACTTCCTTGGGGACTCAGCAGGATACAACACCCAGTTATTGTTCTTTTCTATGTTTCAGCACAATGACTTACACAGTGGAGCGCAGCTAAGAAAAAAACCTGACTCTTCACTTCAAGCTCTGCCACAAGACATAAAGTTATGTAAAAAAAAGTCTCTCGGCGTAGAGGAAGCCCTGTCAGAGGAGGCAGTGTTTTCCAGCTCGTGTCTCCCAGACCACTATTTTTACAGTATCTAAACACTAGCAGGTATGGCAGGCATAGCATGGACCTGTTTATTTTGTGATGGGTATGCCATCAGCAGCTTCCACTAGCACTGCTCCTCTGTGACCCAAGGGTCAAATCAGTGCCTTCTTCTTTAGGTGGAAGACAGGAGAGCGAGCAGTTGTCTTCCCTCATACGCAGCAGAAGGGCTTGCTGAGGCAGGGAGGCCTAAGCATAGAAGCGAGTTCTGCCCCCAGGCAACCTCCTACAGAAATAATCTTTATACGGAACCAAAAGGAAGTCAGCAACGCCCTCCTGACCCTCCTGCTGCCACTTCTCACCCTTGGCTATGCTGAAAAGTTCTGACACTGTAAAGGGTCCAGTTAAAGCTCCCCAAAAGGTGACCCAGTTTACAAGTTCCCAGAAGCACTTCAGGCCGTGTCTCGGGAGTGACTGAGCACCCCTGTCAGAGGTGACTGCCTGGTTTTGGCCAGCAGTTCATTTCATATCCCCAGATTTACTGAAGCTCCAAGAACTGCTGTATGAGATAGGAAATTTCACAGCTGCAGGCTGCTGTAGAGTGGATAATAAACCACTGGACAGATAGCACTGCTGACTTCAAGAGCAGCATGCAAGTCATGGACAGTTCAAATTCCTTTATTTAAATCCCCTAGCTGAAATGCTCTGCTCTTATATTAGAAGTGTATGTATAGATACGCTCTTAGCTCAAAGGTAGTTAAAACACACTAGAGAGGCTGGACCACAGATTTCACAGTAGCAATGTGTGGCATTAATATGACATATTAATATCCTTATGGTAGATGATTAAGGCAGGAAATGGAGCTTGGTGAATTAACCTTCCCTAGCACAGTGAAACACGCTCATATAAATTGAACTAAATTAATGCAATACACTGGAATATTTCCAACTCTGCCTTTAATGCAACAGGCCTTTTTCTTTTTCTAAAATCATAATTATATTGTACATGAGTAACTAGGACATATGAGCCACTCAGCATGGAAGTGTAAAATAGAGCACATCACTGATTATGAGCATTTCACAAACCTAAATGTGACAGTTGATTCTTACAGAGAGCCTAAAGACGCACATAACCATGTTAATATCTCTGTTATACCTCTTTTTAATTTAATTTTTTTCTATCTGGGTGTTTATGTGCAGAAATATCATGCATCTTTAAGCATATTACTTTAAATCGATGCTACTAAAAAAAGTAAATTCTTCCCAAATGGGTTAGACCTATTGAGGGCTTTTTCATATTACAGACTAAGGTATTTTAGCAGGATTCAACAAAAAAAATTGGCCTCCCTTTTTGCATCACCATACAAGTCACAGACTATGAACATTAAATATTAACATTAAAACAAGTTTTAAAGACAGTCAAACCTCTCTGAATAAGTAGCAATGAGATTTTTTTTTCCCTGGAGTTTATTATAAACTATGGTTTGCCACGTGAATCACTCCCTGGAGTCATTATTCAGATTTAAGTAGATAATAAGGAAAAATTTAAGAATACTGCAGTGTTCTACCCCTGACATAGGTATGTACAACAAAATATGAGGATGTACAACAAAACATTGTGACTGTGGATACTGGACTGCTTCCAACTATTTAAAAAAAAGCTCTAGGAGGTAAAAAGAAAACATCCCAACAGATATGCAGGCTGGTGAATTATCTAACCAAGTTGACTTAATTGCAGAGGATACACAAGACTTTAGTTTGTACAATCACATTATTGATTGTGCTATGAGAACTGTTAGATCTTAATCCTGAAAAAGTTGTTGGTTTTATGTCTACTTGTACGTGAATTTGGCTAAAACTGCATGATGGAATTTAGAAGTTTAACAGGCACATACTTGAAATTTACTGACCATGTGCTTTTACTGCAACCAACTCTTGGTTCTTGGTATAGCAAAATCAATGAAAACAAAGCAACAGAGAGTGAGAAAAGATATAAAGTTGGGGCATTCAGATGCTTCTACCTTTATGTTCTGGCACGAGGTCTCAGTAACTGCAGTAGGAATGATTTATATGCTTTCCTTTGAGTCTTCCATGGTGATCCCATATGTGTGGGTTATTTTCTAAGTGACATAACCCTGATTCTAATCTCACTGACTGAAGTTAAAACATCACTGATTTCAAATGGTCAAACTAAAAAATGAAATCTTAAGCCTGTCTATTCTTCATTACCGGTAAAAAAAAGCCAGCAGCATTCACTGTTACTGTCTGCCAAAAAGAACAGAAACCCCTCAACATCTGCAATCTGAGCGTGCTTGCCACTTACATACACCTCATGGCTTCAGAGCTTACCTCTGTCATAAAATAAAAAGCCCAAAGCAGAGCAAACTAGTGTAAATCAGAGACCAAACCATAGGCAGAGAATTGAGACAAAAAGAATCAGCACGCAGTTCGGTCTGCTTTTAAATGACAAACTTCTCATACAAATGTTTCTGCTTTAAGCATAATCAACTCAGCAAACTGAAGAATATCCTCAGTTCCCACCACCAATTAAAGCACAGAATGTCACCGAGGTCAAAGCAACACCTTAAGGAAATGAGTTACCTGTTTAATAAATGATTATCAGTCAATAATCATTAGGCCATTGTCATAGCTGCCCGAACTCTGCCTTTATAACTAGATTAAAAATGCTATTAATTGTAATAAGACAATCTGCTGAGAAAAAGCTTTAGTCACCAAGTGTTAAGAGTTCAGAAAAAAAGAAGTTACAGAACAGGCTGTAGCTCACAGCACAGGAGATTCAGAAAGTCCCTTGCACCTGACGGCACATAGGAAGAGAAACATTCCTTTCTTCTGGAGCCAGGTGATGTTAGGCTTAGGAGTCATGTTCCAAAAGGAAGGAAAAGCTTAATTGGTAGTTTATATAGTGGATCTTGCAGAAAAACCTTTTTTTTTGCAACTTTAAAGCGGAAAATAGAGTCACGGAGTTGTCTGCAAAGAACAATCCATGAGACTGTCTCATACAAAAGGACTGATGGAAATACTCATCTCATTTCAGAAAACACCCGTGTGAAAGGTGGATTCCATGTTCACAGTAAGAAAACAAAGAACAGTTTTTGCTAGTGGCATTTCACACCGCTCTTGCTGCTACTGGTGCAATAATTCAGTAGTCCATAAAAATCCATCTTTTTATTTTTTATCTATAAAACTTTTCATTCAGCTCTTACCACCTTATGATTTATGATTCAATCCTCTCTAATTATTCAGATGCTTTACTTGACAATTCTACATATTGAGACAAAGTCCTCATGCCTCTGAGAAGTGTGCTGATCTTCTAGTTCTAGCTGTGCTCCTTGAACGTCTCTCAGCCTATCTGGGATTTTCTAAAAAGGGCTTTTTCCTCGCTCCGCAACACTTTTCCACTGGTGGAAAAAGACTATCATGTTTTCCAGTCCAGCAGAGCCACTCCTGTGATTGGAACTGCATGTGAAGATGCCTTTAATGTGCTTATAAAATGAAAAGCATCCAAGTGCTTAGCAGTGGCGCTTCATAATGATGTGACAATTTAAGTAGGTAAAATTTCTCAATGTTATTATTTGCATTATATCATGGCATTTAGTAGAAAATGTCAATATACCACGAAACATCTCATATAATTCATGCCTGTGAAAGATGTGAACCATTATAAAAAACACAGGTAGAATGAACTTCTTTCATTATGCTTTGCTAGTTGGAAATACAAGTCTACTTACACCAAGGGAGATTCACCGAGTCAGACCCAAAATCACCTAAAGGTATTGCTTGGGATCCATCATTAGCGAGAGTCGTGATGAACGACAGAATAATATTGGTGCAAGAAAAATTGTGGGGAAAAAAAAATTTAAAAATATAAAAGAAATGGCCAGTAAAAGGAAGTGCAAGCAAATACATGAAACATCTACATTTTGAATAAGCCTGCAGCTCACACACTTAAAAGAAACTATGTTGAAGTGTGTTGCTGTGCCTGTATTTTGGTGTCATGTGAAAAAAAGGTAAGTTCTGTTTTGGGTAGAAAGATACCCAGTAAGAGGGAAACCTGGGTATGTTCATTGCACACGTAATTTCAGTTTTAACAACCGTGGGTAAGTTCATCAGGTAAGATTACCATAAACATGCACTGGAAAAGCAGAATTATTAAAGACCAGTGGATTTTGCTGTAGTCCAAAGGATATGCATAAGACAGCATGTACACGTGGGACAGGGATAATGCAGCAAAACACTCTAAGAATAAAACAGCAGCCAGTACTAAGTAAATATTCTGCATTCTTCATGTTATCAATAAAAATTCTGCCGCCCTCTTCCTGTTCTGAGTTATAGATGGATATTACAAAGCACGGCCATCAGAAATGAAAAGCCATCCAATGTCATACCCAGAGCACTAGATTTATTTTTGGGGGGTTTACCAGTTCTAGGGAAGAATACCAAAAATGAAATGCTATGGTTTCTAACTACCCATCCTTTTAACTTCCAAATGACGAGGTGCTTTCAGGACGGATTTGTATTTTTCCTGTGTAAGGTACTCCAGAAAAAAAGCCTCTGAGAAGAGCTGCCGTGCCATGCACGCGGGGACTGAGAGATGCATCATGCAGGGAAAAGGCATTCCACACGAGGAAATAACCTTACCTAGCAAATTCTCCGCCCTGGGCTTGTGCCTGGCCTGCAATTGCATCCATGATAGCGTCCTGCGAGTACATGCTGATCGGGGTGTTGTACTGGGCGTGAATTATGGTAGCCTTGCCACCTAGGCCCTTCACCTCGATGGGTTTGTGTGTAGACAGGGCAGAGTCCTTCAGGACACTGGGATGAACTCCTTGCTGGGTTGTGCAAGAGTGAGGTTCGGCAGGGCAGGGAGGGGAAGAAAGGAGAAAGGCGTGAAGGTTAAGTGAGAGGACGCGCACTGACAGAGGAGTGCGTGCAGGCGGCTGTTCGTGGCATCTCGCCACAAAAGCTGCTGGTCAGGGGGGCACAGGCGACACCAGTAACAAGTTAAAAGCTGGCTGCGCTAATGGGTGACACTTTTTGTGTGGGCTCATGGACGTATAAGGAGGAAAAAAAGGTGAAATGATTGTCATGTATAAAAATCATGACAAATCCTGAAGTATTTATGTGACAGTTACACATATTAAAATTCTCTTCTTACATGCATATATACATATAAGTGGATACAAACACACACACCTATATATGCATGCCCAAGGACATACATGCAGACTGCAGAGAACTCCCAGGTTATTCACCACATCCATTCACTCTTTCAGAAGGATTTTCCAAAGTGCTAGAAAGTACAGTGGGGTGAACAGGTGTCTCGTTCTCTATTTAAAAGGTTCCAGTACTTTCTGTCCGGATTATTAATCACAGCAAAACTCAGGACTTGCACCTTTTAACCTTCAAAGCTTTCCTCACAAAGATTAAATTAATCTTCCCAAAACCTCTTCATCAACCTGTAAAAAATCTGTACAGCCAGCCAGAAGTGTTACTACAGCATCATAAATGCTCAGACTCGTATTAAAACATCCTATGTTGCAATCAGTGGGACAACTGCAGTTGGAAGAGCCGTTGCCCTATCTTCCAGTGGCTCCATTTATGAGGAAGGATTTTTACTGGAGAAATTGTGTCATGAGCAAATTAACGGTATTGCCTGGAGTTTCAATGAGCCACCTAAACCTCAGCTGTCTGTCACTGCAGTAGCTGCTCCTCCCCTCCCTGTGGGAGATGAGATGGGTCTCCAACCTCCTGTTTCTCTCCTGCCAGCAGCAGGAGGATGCCAGCAGAACAGATTCCGTACGCTCACAGAACTGTGTGAAACTGAGAATTCTGCCCTTTGAGAAACAACTCATATTTTACAAAAGTTCCATTTTAAACTGAGCCCAAAAGCTGGAAATGGAAATATTTCCCCCCTAAGAAATTCTGAAAAACGTAATCCCATTTGACTGGAACAATCTTCCTTTTCAGTTTAAAAACATTACACCATAAATTTATCAGCTAACATTAAGACCTTCACTGCATTTTTTCATGTGACTGAACAACAGCTTCTCTGGTTGGCAAAGGACCAGCAGTGTTCCTGTCTGCTGAAGGCTGGTCACAGAGTGTGTCTGAGTGTTAAATTTGAACCCTCAACCCTGTACAGCGCAAAAAGGACAAAAAAGCTGGCAGTCATCTGACTAAATCTTCCAGAGATTATCAAAGGTGATGTGCCACCTCCGAACCCCGCCAGGGGACTCCAGCCTCTTGTGTGGTAGGATGTCCTGACCGCAGGTGGACAGCAAGAGAGCCACAGCCACGCGTCATGCGACGTACTGGCTACAACGTGAACAGCCACATGCCCCGGGAAGACACATACATATGCACATGCGGTACTCCAGCCGGAGCCTTTAATGACACGTACCAACATCATGAGGGAGGGGAGCAGGAAGCTGCATTACGCATTCAAAAAGTGAAAATCATCTTTTTGCAAAGACGTCACATTTAAAATTTCTCGCTACCAACTATTCATCAGCTATGTCAATATTATTATTATTATACTGACATCATCTGTTGAAGGATGATGTGCAGAGAGGTGCAGGCTCTTATGCTCTTGACTTTTCAGCATGCACATGCCTTGCTTGAACACCAGTATCTCTTTTCTTTGTAATGCCCTAAACAATCACATAATAATTAGGAACACACTAGTCCTTGAGATCTTGAATTTAGTGTTCTCTTTCTCCCACCATTAGAAATATTGAAGAGATTTGAAATCCAAGATCTGAAAAGACTGTGTGAATGAAAAGACAGAGGTTAAATGTCACTTTCAAAGAGTAAACTTCGAGGCAATTGGTTTCCACAATCAGTTACAAAAATAAAAGCTTGTAACCTTAGGTCAGCCTGAACTTCCCTAACAGTAGCGGCAGTAACGATTTAGGGCTTCACTTGTAGTTATTTGTAGAGACTCAGTGACGCCTTTCAAGAGGTTTTAATCCCATTGCACATATCAAGGCAAAACTTTCACTGAAATTAAGAGGATTCCTATAAAAATAATGGAAAAGGGCACAGATCTTAAACTGCAGAGCTTTCTTTATCACTCTGGAAGGAAACAGAAGATACCAGCCCTTGCACGGGGTGCTGTGCTCTGGGACAAAGCGGCAGAGCTAAAACCCTCGAAGTAGCTGGAGCACCTCTGCAAAATGGGTGGGATTTTTCTACCAAGCTAGGAAAGCATCAGGAAAAATAAATCCCAAAGCAAGGAAGATAAAAAACACCCCATAAGGCAACTTCTGCTTCCCAAGACAATTGTAACAGAATATTTATCAATGTGAATTGGCGCGAGTTTCTTCACTCCAAGGGAGTTGCCTGACATCACACACACACCTCATCAAAAGTAAGAGAATGCCAGTTCAGCATAAACAATACTCATGAAATATTATTTCAACTTTATGTATCAGACTACTTCTTACCCTCTCCTGCCAGTTTCAATTTGCCATTTAACTAAGATAATTACTTATTTTATGCTGAATTCAACCCAGTCTCTTCCCTCAATTTCTGAACAACACTCAGTTCAGAGACAGAAAGTGGGCATTTAAAGACAATCCTCTGCCCTTAGAAAACTAAAAAATAAAGCTGAGGACTTTGAACTTCCCTGAATAAAGCAGATCAATCACATTTTCAAAGCAATAGTTGCCTTTTGTTTGGGCCCCTTGTATTTAGAAAGGTAAATTACTTTTTAGATCTTTTATATATTAGTATCTCAGACCAACCTAAATAGAAATTTTACTGGAGTGAGATTTTGGAAATCAATTTAATGCTGAGGCTAAGAATAATATAAAAAAAAAAGGGTCAAGTAAGGCTCCCCACATCCTGAAGGCATGAAGACTACTTAAAGAGTTAGGAGGAATTAAGCCCAAACCATCGAGACAAAAAAAAAAATCAGAAAGCATCTGCAAGAGCTGAGCAAGCTCAGGTGCTAACTCCGTTTGTAGCATTAGAACATCACGAAGAAACACCGAACCCGTGGTGAGCTTAGAAGGGAGCACCACTGGGCACCAGTGGCTGCTCACGACGCTTGCCACAGCAGTAAGATTTTTTAAAAGTACTTCCACTTGCAAGCAGACACGGCAGGAACACAAGGGATCATGCTACCCCAGAAAAAACAACTCTTCACACATACAGCACAACATGAATACTTGGCATGATACAGAAGTGGTACTAACTTGGTAGCGGTGTTGGTTATCACCTAAAAGAGGAGAAAGAGAATAAACAACATCAAAACCAACCAAAGAGAAAAAGTCAATAGTTGTTAGAGTGCAAAGGGCAAAAGGTATTTACAAAAGCTCACTAAGGCTTTTTCCAGACCATCTACGAGTAAGAACAGAAAGTAAACATATGCCTGAAAGCCCCCACATGATGGAGAGAGGAAAAAATGTACGGATTATAGTTGATCCACTAGGACTTAGTAGGGTACTGTGGCATTTTGGCTGACCCTTGAACACGATTTTATTGCTGTGCATCTCTGAAAGTACTATTATCAAAGTGTATGGGGGAACAAAGCGGACGGAAGAAAGAAGCATTTGCAGAATATGTTCTCATCTGAAAATAGGGAATGAGCAGAAGAGATCATATTCTTCCCTCAGATACTAAATATTCAGGGGGGAAGTCCGTTCTACTCAGGCTGCCCTCAGAGCTGGTACTGCAAGATTTATTTTTCAGTCTTTTACATGCTGGAGAATATCCAAAGAATACATTGGTAGATGTTTTAAATGGAAAGGAAATGTTTTAAATTAAAGGAAAATGCCTTTATATTTAAGAAATTATTGGCCTAACTCTAACTGTACCTACATTACGCCAACAGTCATACAAGCCAATTAATTTCAGAATAGTCATTCCTAATTTATTCCATGTGAAACGAAGTGAGTCCATGCACTACGTGGGTTTTTTTGGATAGCTGTATGAGGATATTTAATTCCATCTGGTATGTACACAGTATGAAAAAACGTATGTTCGTGCTACATCCTGCTTCGCCGCATAAACAAGAAGTGACACTGGCTTGCACAGTGATTCCGCCAAAACACAACAAAAGCTCAGCGTAGGTCTTACTCGGGCCAAAGCTGGGAACGATGAACAGACAGTGTGCTCAGACTGCAATAGTATATTATATTATCTGCTAATAACTCTCTCTGTTGGCTGCATGAATAGCATCAATGGGCTATGACATTTATTTTAACTTTGTTCTTTCAAAGCTTAGAATACCCCAATTTTGCTCTTTTATTCTTGAGTGAAGAGTAATTCATATTTTGCGCAAAATAAAAAGGAAGAGGGTCAGGGATCAGTTAATAAACATTTCTTCTTATTTAGCTGCACAGAATGCTGTTGACAGAACAGGACATTGATACCTCCAACCTGCTGCTGCATCACTTCTGGGTCTGGGACAAGATAATGGACAGCAAGGTGACACTGTGAGAGGGACATTCGAAGTGGATTTGTCTCCTTCGGCTTTTGCCTTGCAAAATCTCTGAGATCACTGCTGCTTTTTTACATGCAGTCCTTTTGCACCGGCTCACCCAGGTGCCTTTTTCATGATCAAAACCACTTCAGTGAGCCAAAGCTGAAGAAAAGGCTCCTGCGCTTCCATGGAAAAGCAATCGCAGATCACCTTCTGCAGTTGCTGTTCTTCAGACTCTCGATTTCGAGAATATTTTTCTAACTTCATAGACCCTACATTAAGCCAAATATATCTGCCTGTTACAGGAATCAGTAGAGATATATTAGGAACAAGCTGTAGCCTGTAAGCACGTCAGTGATCCTATATCCATTTTAGGTATGTGCGGGACAGCTGGGCACTCATTTACAATGAAACGTAATGTAATAGTATCATTTTCTGAAGTGGACTCTGATGCCTGCTTTAATCTTCTAATCCAGGCCTCTGCCTTAAACATAAAATAATATTTTAAAGGCAGAACTACCATCCCTAAAAAATATCTCACGTAGAGGAACTACTAGTTTCCATATAAAAATATATTTGAAGATAAAATCATTGTTTGCAAACACTAAGAACAGCTCAACAGGCACATGTCTCAGTAAAGGTATTTTAGATTTGAAGAGGCTACTACTGCTTCCTTCAAGAAGAGTAAAACTTTATTTCTCCTTACGTGTGTGACTAGAAAATTCTCTCCAGTTCAGAGCCACACATTATTTTAGCTTGATTCTAACTACGAACAAGTATGAAATGCCCAACTTGCTGCTCACAGAGGTCATGCAGTAAGAAGCTGGTAACTCAACCCACCTGGCACGTACTTGTGGGACAGGTATTTACTGCTTTGACCTACAATGTGAAAAATATCCTGGAATGGAAGAGAACCACATGCTACAAGCTGTGACTCCCTCCTCATATTTATTAACACTCCCCTTTTCCAGAGCTTTCAGCATGTCAAGTTCCACGCTCTTAACAGATCATCTCTATTTTTCAGCCCGGGGCCAGGGTGATAAAGCTTTAATGTAGAACTGCATCAGAGAAACAGACACTTTGCAGATCAAGGAAATAAACTCAAGATAAATTTTAGCTTTTGGATAGGATTTTCCAACGGGTTTAACTAAACCTTTAACAGCAATTCAAACACAATTAAGTTTAAATGCTTTGTTGAAACAGACGTCAAATTAAAATATGAACTATACCTTAACACCAATCCCCAAACCTTCCTGCTTTCACCAGACTAAAGGCACATTCACAAATGCATAATAAATTCACATTTTTGGAACACCATAATTTCCATCTTTATGCAGCATCTCATGTAACGAGAACGTCCACGACAAAATCCAGAGCAGATTTTGCAGAGCTCACAGTGCTTTCACTCTTTCACATGTATCCACAGTGAGCTTGAGACTATCACGGATGACACCACGCCCCAAGGCAGGTACAGGTTCCAGGTTACCCTCCTTGGGGCAGTGGGGAAGGTGCCCCTCGCTTCACTGGTAACACTCGAGTGGGAATGACAGGATTACTGAACTCGGAAATTTTCTCTACATGTAAACAGAGATGTAAAATTCTCTAAATCTCAGAGGAATTACCTGAAATGACACAGAGGCTTAGCAGCCTCTTAGTAGCTTTTCAGATGGTTTCTGGGCTGCAGGATAAAGGCTGATTCTTTTTTTTAACAAAACATTTAGATTATTTCTCATAAACTTTCTTATTCATTCATCAGTGCTACAGATGTTACAGGCAAACAGACAGCAGGTACACCTCTTCTGCACCCCAACAACCACCGTCATACTACGCAGTCCTACAGCTAAGCCGGCTAGAATCAACAGACCAGCTCTCATGGGCTTTGTCGAGTGACAGATGCCACCGTGTTGTCGTTTTGGTAAGAAAGAAAGGGTCAGAAGGCTGAGCCACCCAGCTCACAGTCCCCACCCCAGCAGTTGTTAAAGAGGGTTGTGAAGATACCGGGAGAAAGACAGCGAGACACGCTCCCAGAAAACTCTGCATATTGAAATGAGACAAGGATTAGTTTTCCTCAGGAAAACTGTGAATTAAGAGGGAAGCGTTGTGAGGTTTATTTTGCTGATCTTGCTTACCAGCTGAAATTATTATCTTTTAAACACTAATTGCTTTTCTTAATTATCCAGTATGAGAAGGGAGGATAGGATTTTTCAGATAAGTTAATTAAGGATTGTTAAGGCTGAGTGCTCAAGAGAGTTATAATGAATCATCTAAACTGCTTGAATCATCTATAACATGCATATATTCTCTTTTATAAGGATAAAATATCCTTACTTTGCCACAATTTAAAAACCCTTCGTTTTACTCTTGCAAAGAGCTTCTGCAGAGGGAAATGATGTATCTGAAAATATGCATTTGCTATCGTACCTCAAGCGGATCGTCTGAATTTTCTGGTTTTCCTCACATAGCCAAGTCTACAGTACGCTTTTCCCCACACTCATAGTAAGAAATCTATCTTCATTTCAGATAAACCCAAACAAAAATTAAATACATGAAAAAAGTAATATACCAAGGCAGAAAAATTAGGAAAACCTGTTTCTCGTTGCGTTTTCTCATGTACTGTAGTCCAAGCTCCTCACTTCGTAATTCTACTAACAAAACAGTTGATCTGCAGTAGAGTAAGACTGAAAACCTTGACAGCACAGGATCACACTATCTGTGTAGTATCTAGAGAGCGTTTCTTGTTAGACACAAGTTAAGAGCAAAGCTAATGGATGCAAGACAGACAATGCTCAAACCAGAAGATTCAAAATACTGCTGTTTTGGCTCATTTTGCTTAGGAAAGCCAATAAATTGATGTAGGAATTATAGCAGGACGCTCCAGTCAGATATGGTGGTGAATGCAACTTCTCTTTAGGAAAGTACCAAAGATCAGATCTGTCTTATAGCGGCTTCTGTAACGGCCGACAGCGACAGATAGTGGGTTCTATGAGACTACACGTGTTAGTTCACATCACTAAATGCCAGAGCCTGGGATGAGCACAGCTGCTTCATTCACAGTGTTCTTCCCCATGCTCTGGTGACTATTGCCAATCCACACTGCAATTCAGACACCAAAGACCAAAAGTTACTCTGTCGTGTCACTGCATATACGTTTTGGCAAGTTCTGGAAATTTTAACAGTTGTTTCAGACCTTAGTTGTGATTACCAGACAAATACACAACAAGGTAGGTGCTGTTACAGTCACCTTCCAGCAAGTCCATTACTTACTGAAATATCAAATATTTTACCGTGTTACCTACCCTCTAGGAAGTCCACCTTCCGAAGCCCTTCGGTTGAGACTTAATTTATGCATCTCAGCCATTTCCCTGAGAGTCTCTGCCGAGTAAAGGCCAATGGGGTTGTTATACTGCCTTGCAGGGCTCAGCTGGCGCGCAGGGCTACTGCCCTCCGTCAGGGCAGGGCTGCCTTTTGAACCTAGATTGCTCTTTGCAGGAGAAATGTCAGGAGTCACAGACTGAGAGGACATGGAAGATCTAACTGTGGTAGTCTTTAAGTAGGAAGAGCTATTGGAAAAGCTGATCTCTTGCTTGTTGAGGTAGCCTGAAAACGTTCCATTGGTTGCTAAAGTACTACCCACAGGCCCGGTCGCCATGTTAGTTAGAGGACTGAAGGTTGTTCTGTTGCCATTGATTTCCCAAGCAGGTTCCTGTAGCAGCAAACATGCAGGCCAAGAAAAGAAAAAAAGAAAAGAGCAATCATAGAACACATGCAAAAATAACATCTATGCAATTAATGCT